GGGGGGGGGGGGGGGGGGGGGGGGGGGGGGGGGGGGGGGGGGGGGGGGGGGGGGGGGGGGGGGGGGGGGGGGGGGATGTTGCAGTTTTGAAAAACGCAGCTGCCCGACAGCGCCCCTAAGTCCCAGAAGTCAGTCTCAGAGACACTTCTAGCTCCACACGGTCCCACCCCAAGCCTTTCTGTGCCTTTCTGGAACCCTTTATTCTAAGGCTCAACATCTGACTCCTATCTCGGGAACACTGCTGCAAGGGGAGAAGACTGGAGAGAGCTGCAGGGACCTTGCGCGGGTCAATGACACCCACCGAACAGCCAAGAGCCGTTCTCAGCCTCACAACCGCACCCACCTCCCAGGAGTCCCAGCCCGGCCGTGAACGCACACAGTCCCGCGCCAGCGCATATTATCACACCTGGACCCCAAATCGCCCTTCTCCGCTCCTCACGCAMGCACGGGCCTGAGGCTCGGGGCACGACATCCCACGTACGTGCCTCGGGGCTCTCACTTCCGGAGGCAGCCCAGTCGCGTTCCTACCCCCTTGAGTTCCGCCCCACCTCACCTAGCACGGACTTCTTTCTAGGGAGTGACTAGCTCCTCGGTGGCTGAACCCTCAAGGACGCACCGGAAGGGCTCTCAAGATCCCGGATAACGCCACCTGTAGGGCTTCTGGGATACGTAGTCCTTGGCCAGGATATGTAGGCTTGGACTCTGCGCAGGCGTAAACATACGGGATCCGGCTGTTCCCTTGACTGGTCCTCAGACTTGGCGGCTGTCTCCGCTAACCAACCCTTGCCAGAATGCCTCAATACCTGACCGACGAGTACATCCGAGAATCCGAGACCTAGGCAGCGAGGGTGCGGGACTGGGCGCAGGCTCCATAAAGTGGAACTGTGTTTCTTTCCCCTGCTTGTCTGGCGCCTTGTACACAGCAGGAACTCAATATGTGTATTTCAAAAYCGTGTGGCCTTTTGCACCTGGCCTTATGGTCGCATGTGTGTCATTCTGAGGGTTACAGGAGCAACTGCGGTTCTCTGGCTGCAGGTGAGACAGCGTGCAATGAATATAAGGAGCACATCTTAGTCTGTGCAAAGTCCATCAGAGAACTAATCGCCTGGTTTCAAATAACACATTTTGCTCTTCCTCATCCCTTTCTGAAAATTACTGTTCTAAAGCCACAAGATGGCTCACAGCAGCAGCTCATTTTTTTTAAGTTGTAGTTACACAATCCCTTTTATTTATTTATTTTTATATGGTGCTGAGGATCGAACCCAGCGCTTGCACATGCTAGGTGAACACTCTACTGCTGAGCTACAACCCCAGCTCCAGGTCAGAGTCTTAGGAAAAGGATTTTCGTGCAGGGGATGCCTTAATGCAGGGTACTAGTGCCTAACAGAGGACAGTCCAAGTGGTGGAGTAGACCAGCATGAGATGTCAACCTGAGCAGTATCAAGGACAGTGTTACAGGACTGCCCAGAGTGGGATCTGAGTCCAAGTAGGTGAAGAGGCAGTTGAGTGTGAGGGCTGCCTAGCTTTGGGTGTTGTGGCCCAAAGGGCAGTAAGTAGTGGTGAATGTCAACACCCAAGCAGGGTGCGGAGAATACACGCAGAGTTGAGTTTGTTAGTCACAGGGAAACTGATGCACAAGGTAAATATATTAAGGGAAATGAAACCAGGCTTGTCCCTGTCAGAACAGGGAATCAGATATGAAAAGGGAGAAAACAAAAATGAGCCTTATGATACTAGATTGAAGCTAGATGTAATGATATAAGCTCACAATTATCTATATGGGTTGATATAACAGCATAAGCAGGTGCTAGACCACCATGGACACCAGACTCAGGTGCCACCCTGCTTTCCCTTGTTTCAAGATTGGCCTAACCTGATGTGTCCCTGCCTCAGCAAGAGGAGCTACAGTGCTGGGTCCATATCTCACTCCATAAGTATATGCACATTAAGGTCCTGAAGAAAGGCAAAATGTCCATCTAATATCCAGGGATAATTTGTGAAGACAAATCAAGAAAATGATGCAGTCAACAGAACATTGAGCACCACCTTCTGGCTAAAAGTTACATTGCATCCTGTTTCTCTTTTCTTCCAGGCGGACATGGAAGGCAGTGGTCTGTGGTCTGTGCGGACATGGAAGGCAGTGGTCTGTGGTCTGTGCGGACTTCATATGGGTGTCCGTTAAACTGCTGGCTTTGGTACTGTGAACAACTCACCCATTTTCAACTGCTTAGCAGTGGTACACTGTCACCTCACCTGAGATATGCTTACTGACCCTGAGTAGCTAGTCTAGTGTCTGTGCCAGTCAGCTTTCTCTCACAGTGACAAAATACTTGAGAAAAACAACCTAAGGAGRAAAGATTTAATTTGGCTCAGAAAGATTTAATTTGGCTCAGTTTCAGGATCCACCCTCAAGTCTCCACTGCTGGGGGCCTGTGGGAAGGCAAAGCATCACGTGGAAAGGGTGTGGTGGAGCTGAGCTGCTCACCTCACAGTGATAGAAAAACAGAGAAAGGGGCAGGGACAAAATATACCCTTCAAATCCATGCCCCCTGTCACTGATCTCTTCCAACTAGGCCCCCACACCCTCAAGTTTCCACCATCTCCCACTAATACCATCAGCTGGGACCAAACCTCCAACACTCAAGCCTTTGGGGAACAGTGCAGATGCAAGTTATAATACAACCCAGAGAGCAGTATCCTCCAGGTTTGTCCACGTTGTCAAAGGGGCAGGAATTGCATTTTTGAGACTGAATATTTCATTCTCATATATTCACATATAAAACACTTTCTTTACTCATCCACTGACATTTAGGTTGTCTTCATTAGTTATTGTAAACAATGCTGCAGTGAACAAGGGACACAGACATCTCCTAAGGAACACTAATTTCATTTTCTGTAGATATATATACAATTTTTTAAATTTTTTTGAGGAATTTCCATACTGTTTTTCATAGTGACTATACCAGTTTTTTAAAAAATATTTCTCTAGTAGATGGACACATAACCTTTATTTTTATGTGGTGCTGAGGATCGAGTGYCTCACATGTATGTGCTAGGCAAGCGCTCTACCAACTGGGCCACACCCCAGCCCCATGACTATACCAATTTACATGCCCACCAATGGTGTACAAAGGTCCATTTTCTCCACATCCTTTCCAACACTGGTTATCCCTTGTCTTTTTGATAATGGTTATTCTAACAGGTGGGAAATGATACATTACTGGTTTAATTTGCATTTCTCTGATAATGAATATTCATCATTTTTTCATACAAAATTTTCTAATTTGAGAGGTACTTTGCAACAACATTAACATCTGCTTCATCAAACTTTTTTTTTTTTTGCTTATTATATCATTTTGGACTCATTCCCTATTTTATGGAATGGATCTATAACCAGCGTTATTTGTTTTGAGGTTCAGTTCATGCCAGGTTTGCTCAGTGGAAGCCCCTTTGACACTCTGTAAATACTTCTTACTTTCTAGCACAAGGTATTTGTTTTGAGCTTTCTCTTCCCCGGTTCTTTCTTCTCAGGGAAGACAGATTAGGATAGTCTTCCTACAATATAAGATTACTGCTCAGTTTTTTCTTCACAACACTTACCACAATTAACTGCATTTATTTGTGATTGTTCCTCCATTAAAGAGTTCCTGAAAGGCAGAGACCAATCTTACTTCTGTTCTTTCCAGGACATTTGGATAAAATTAACAAATAGAGAGAGTAACAGAAAACATCAAGTGAATGAGACATGCAACTTTTTTCTTTTTTTTTTAAYCTTAGGAGGGGTGGATAATGGTTGAGGAGATGGATAAATAAAAGTTGATGGCATCTCATACACACTGTATGGAAGTGGGGCTGGCAGCATTTCTGAGGAATACAGAACAACTATTCTTGTGGCAATGAGACTCGATTCTTTGGGACCCTCCTCCCTGGAGGAAAAAGTAGCTGCCCTTCAGCTGCCACCACACCTTCCTCTGGTTGACTGAAACTTTCAGGCCCTCTGATTTTTTTTGTGGGATTGGATGGGTTCCGATCTAGTCCCTCCACAACTGGCTGAATGCTGATGGGATGGAGCCCTTCAGATCTCCTTGTTGGGCATGGGATGGAGGGAAGAGGTGCTACCTAGACACCCTCACCTGAGATAGCACCCAAGCTTATAGCTCAGACCACCTGGTTTTGAAGGACTTCCAAGTCCCCATGCTCAGACCACTGTGTTAGAAATGGAAAAACAGAACATATAACCACAAAAGCAGAAAAGCCGGTCTCAAATCACAATTTGGGAATCAGCCTATGTCCACCTTTTGAGTTTGAGATAACTTAATAACTGCATGAATCTCTGGAACTTGGAAATCATTCTGCTTTCCTGCCCCCACCCCCACCCCCACCCCCACTTCATTTCCAAGGCAACTGCTTCATTCCCTACTGCCCCCCTGTGGATTTTCTTTTTTAAATTTTTTTTAAATTTTTA